AAGGTTTTACCATGTTGACCAGGCTGGTTTCAAACTCCTGGCCTCAAGTGATCTGCCTACCTTGGCCTCACAAAGTGCTGGAATTATAGGCTTGAGCTGCCGTGTTCAGCCAACATTCCTATTTTTGAAAATCCTCCAGTCCCTGAACTCTGTATTACAAGACCAACTGCATTGCTGAGAGAGACTCTGCTTTACAGGTACAGCTCCAATTTGCTTACAAAGCGAAAAATTTAGCTTTTTTATTTCTGACATTAAGAAGTGGCCTCTTCCTCCAACATAATTACAATATTATATCATTTGTCTGGAGTTTGTATTATTGATGGTGTTTGTTAATTTTTTTTTTTTTTCGAGACAGTGTCTCACATTGTCACCCAGGCTGTAGTGCAGTGGTGTGATCTTGGCTCACTGCAATCTCCAACTCGTGGGTTCAAGCAATTCTCCTGCCTCAGCCTCCCAAGTAGCAGGAACTACAGGCATGTGCCACCACACCCAGCTAATTTTTTTGTATTTTTAGTAAAGACGAGGTTTCACCATATTGGCCAGGATGATCTCGATCTCCTGACCTTGTGATCCTCCTGCCTCGGCCTCCCAAAGTACTGGGATTACAGGCATGAGCCACTGTGCTCGGCCATAAATTTTCTTTGAAAACGTGATTTTTGTGATTCTTCATTCCTAGTAAATTTTTTAATTTAAAAATAATTATCTTATTCTACAAGTATTTATTGAGTACATACTATGAGGAAACATGTTAGACATAAACAAAAATGGTCCCTGCTCTCATGAAATTTACAGTCTAGTGGAGAAGGCCAGACATTAATCAAATAAACATACCAAAATATATAAAATGTGTAACTCTGTCCAACCATGAAAGATTATAAGCTATAGGAACTGAACTGCCTGTCCACCATAAATAACTATTTAAGTATGCACAAAATACATTGAACATTTAGATGTGGTGCAAAAGGTAGCACAGAACTGTGATCCCCAAAGGAAAGAAAACAAATAAATTCAGTCCTGTGAGTGTCCCAGTTTACTTCTTGGAGAGAGTTTCCAGGCATCAGTCCAGGTAGGGCAAAAGCAAACAGAGCCCCACTGAGTTGAGGAGATGGAGATTAGTACTCTGGGAGGTAGAGGTGGCTAGAATTTACAGGCAAAGTACAGGAAATAAAGTTGCTGAACAGAGCGAGAATGATGCCTCAGTGACCTGTGGGATCAGTCTAAGATGCATGTAATTGAAGTCAGAGAAAAAAGGGAGACATAAAATATTTGAAGAAATGATGGCCAAAGGTTTTCTGAATTTGGTAAAAACTATAAGCCCACAGAACCAGGGGACTCAACAAATCTGCAATAGAATAAACTTTGTAAAACCATACCAAAATATATTATGATCAATTGCTCACACACTCTTATAAAGTCTTAAAAACAGCTATTGGGGAAAAGATGCATTATACGCAGATAAGGATTACAGCAGACTTCTTTTCCAAAACTACATAACCCAGAAGCAATGGAACATCTTTAAAATGCTGAAAGAAAACACTGTCAACCCTAAATGTTCCGTGGTGAGCAAGTCTATGCAAACTTACCCCCAAAGCCCAGGAAGCTGAGAGGTGAAAGAAGGAGGCTGACAAATCTGCCTTCTCAGAAAGAAACATTTAAGAGGGGCTTACAAACAGAAGTGATAGCCTTTGGCAGCCATGAGAAGGGATAGTGGATCCCTGCGCCTTTATCTCCTAGGCCCAGGGGTTATATACCACAGGGAAGGAATGTGTAACAATTGAAATCAATGCCTCAGAGAGAGACAAGAGTGAAGAGTAGGAAAAGTAGAAATCTCAGAGGCATTCCCAGAACAGGGGTTAATCAGAAGTCAATATAATAGGTTAGCATCCAAGATGGAGTTGCTTTATCATCTACACCTGTGGAGAAAAGTTAAATATTAAATCTGAACTCAATTGAACATGGACACAAACAATGGTCACCAAGTCCCAGAACAGGTTGGGTGAGCCCTTGAGGCATTCATCCAGCGCTGTTTCAGAGGAATCTCTATTTCAATCTATTCCTATATGTTAGTCATTGAAAAACAATAGACAGTCACAAAAACAAGTTGACCTTTTGTGTTCCTTGTGCCCAGTCACGAAGGGCCCTCGTGACTGGGCCTCATGCCAAACAACTTGTTGCAAAAAGAGCTAGGGTCCCAGACCATGCTGAAGCTTCATGAGGCCTCTCCTCATCTTTTCATGGACAAGTGGCCAACTTTGGAGCCCAGGCTGTTGCTTCATGGTCTGGTGACAAATCCTCCACAGTCTGGTGAGTGTGGAAAAAAAAAATGTGTATATATATATACACACACATACACACACACACACACACACACACACACACACACACACACACACTGTAGTAGAAATTTACTAATTTATGACTGAAGTATTTTGTTCCCCATCAATGTTTATATACCATAATTATCTGTTTTATATATATATATATATATATATATATATATCTTTTACCTTCTCCCCTTCCCAGTGCAATTTGGTTATTATATCAATTTGCTTATTATATCTGCATTGTCATTTACGTGGGATAAATGTTGTTTACCCTTAAAGGTACTGTGTGTGTGTCTTTTCTTCTCCCATCGCATGTTTCATGCACAGAACAACACCAAATCTACCCAACATTGTTTACCACAGGCTACACTATTATTGTCTCTTATGTGAATTACTGGAATAGTGTCCCAACTGGCCTCCCTGCTTTCATCCTTGGTGACTTCTAACCCATTCTCCAGCTGAAATAAGATTAAAGTTATTACTATGCAAATAGGATTATGCAATTCCCTGCTTAAAAAAAAAAAAAAGCTGCTGATTTCACTGTGAATAAAATCCAAAGCCGTTGATATGGCCTGTAAGGTTCTGTCTACTTGTTCCACCTTTCTTCCACTCCTATCCTTCTAACGCTTGCTGATTCTGCATTTTTAAAACATATAATTTTGTTTGAGACAGGGTTTTACTCTGTCACCCAGACCAGAATGCAGTGATGAGATCATGGCTCACTGCAGCCTCGACCTCCCAAACTCAAGCAATCCTCCCACCTCAGCCTCTCATGTAGCTGGGACTACAGACACGCAGCACCACATCTGGCTAATTTTTTAATTTTTGTAGAGACAGAGTCTTGCTATGTTGTCCAGCCTGGTTTCAAACTGCTGGAAGCAAGCGGTTTTCCCACCTCGGCCACTCAAAGTGCTGAGATTACCTGTGTAAGCCACTGCACCCCCCAGTCTGATTCAGCTTTTTGCAGCCCCAGAATGTTCACAAAATGTATTCCGTCAGCCCACAAAAATCCATTCTCTCTCATTTCTACTCCTGTTTCTCACCTCAAGTCTTAGCTGTAGGAGGCCTCCTCTGACTATTTTCACCCTCCCAGTCTCAGGTTCCTCTGTGCACACAGATCTGGCGCACAGTACTTTTCTATCAGAGCACTCATCAGTGTTTATACCACTGTGTTTATTTGTGTGAGTATTTGATTATTGTCATTCTCCCTCCTAGAGATTAAGATCCTTGAGATTGACTCAGCATGGAATATCTGGCACACAGTATGCACTGAGGAAATACTTCTTGGCATAATTAGTGAATTATAGATGAAAACTTACCTTGGAATTAATTATGGGACTGGCTGGTTTCTTACTCAGAAGGATTTCCTGTTCTTCCTGAAAGGGTTATATAAGGCTACTCTACTGTGTGTCTTCAGAATTACAGAACAGACAGGCAGGCTTGAAGTGCTTTGATAGTTCCTGTGAAAAAGAAGGATCAAAGCTTGAGGCTCATCCTTCTCCCATGGAACCCCTTGCATCCTTGCCCTGCACTGGGACAAAATGATCCACATTTGGAAATCACACAACCTAGCCCATCTTCCTCCAAGTCTCACTCTCTTGGGATGTGTGTTTGCTGGTACTGATGAGGCAGGCAATGAACTTGAGCACATCAGCCAGCCCTACAGGGATTTCCCTTCCCATTCCCAAAAGCTCACAGGAAGAGAATGGGAGACAAAGGGCCTGGTGATTAGACTCCCAAGACACTGGGCTGTCTGCTTCTGTCTCCGGTTCAATAGGCCCAGAGAGAGTCTTCAGGGCCAAAACTCAAGGATTTATTGAGGTGAGTGCTCCATTTTAGTCATGACAAAGCTATACTGTTTATGGGGGCTAAATTTAAGGTATAAAGTGATCGCTTTGTTGTTTAGGGTCTGGGAGTTGCAGAGGAAACTGATTTCTTTTACACACTTTAAACAAACTTATTTTCAACCAATAAGATCTTACACTATAAATGGTAAAATCCTTTTCCTTGGCAAGCCCCTGAAACAGCAATCTCAACAGTAGCAGTTAACGTATTTTTCAAAAGGCTCTCTTCCAATCAATTTACTTACTCTGCTTGACTGTTCAGCCTGTTAATCCAAATTTAAGCATTACCTCAAAGCTGGTTTACCATTGTAAAGTCCACTAAAATACTCCATTGAAACAACTCACTCAGGGGAAAAACACAAAGTGGCAAGCTGGGGACATAGTGGCTCTTTAAGAGGGATTTTAAAGTTTATGTCCCTGCCTTCTACCCAGCAGCTGTATTATCTCCAGTGGTAAGAGGCTCCTTCTGCTTAAACGAAGCCATATCTCTAGTCTCTTTTAGCTCAGGCTCCACTTGCTAACCTTTCTTTCAGGGCTTTATTCTGTGTGTCTAAGGTTTTTCCACACTCAAGACTCTGGTATACATAATCTGGCTTATTTTTAGTTCAAAGACATCTTAGGGATGAGACTAGAATTCCAAGTGAGGTTCAAATTTGCAGTAACACTAGTGGCACAAGTACACAACTTGGGGCTGCCAAGAGTGGATCTTTAAAATGTCTTAGAGCTGTTGAGTAACACTACCAACTCCTTATTTTATAAAGGAATCAAGTGAGACACAGAAAAATTTAGTTTCTTCTCAGTATGTGACTTATATTTCAAGATGCAGTTCAGCCATCCACTCAGAAGTCTTCCCTGACCATTCTCCACTGTCATCAACACCAAATATTTACTGAGTGTCTGTTACATGCCAGTCCCTGTTCTAGGTACTTGGGATTCACCAGTATACAATGGAGACAAAAATCGCTGCCCTGGAGCAGCTTACATTCTAGCACGGGAAACAGGCTACAAACAGTGAGTATAATATATGTTGAAGGCAGCGAGTTCTGGAGAAGAACAAACAGGGTCATGGGGATCAGGAGTAGGCATTCCCTGAATGGGAGCTGGTTGAGTTTGTGATTTTTAAATAGTTGAGTAGACCTCATTGAGAAGGTGACAGTTGGCACAAACTTAAAGGAGGTGAGGAAGTTACCCATGAAAGGACCTGGGGAAGAGTATGCCAGGTAGGGGGACCACACATGCAAATGCTCTTGGGCAGAACCATGCTTGCCTGTGGTGAGCTCAAGAAACAGTGAGCAAGCCAAAGGGGACCTCAGAGGTGGAGGGGAACTGGTCATGCAGAGCACTCAGGACAACCATAGGGGCTTTGGCCACTGCAGAGTTCTAGCAGAAGAGTGTGTCTAAGTCAAAACATAGAGACAACCATCTGAAATTAACACATTTTATTTGAAAAGAAAGAATCGCAACTTGGGACGTACATGCAGACTAGATGGTTTTCGGTATGTCTGCAGAACAAAAAGACACTTAGAGGTTTTATTTTTAAAAGAGAAACATTATGTTTTGCTCTCAGAAAGTTCATTGGCACTAGTAAGGTTTTGACAAGCTGATAAGTTTTGATTGATAAGTGACAGCAATGGGTCAAACTATTCTTAGAGTTTCAGGAGATTGTTTTAGTATCTATAGATATGACTGGTTTCAAATTATAGCAGGTAGCGTCAGCAGCCAGGCTTGCAGAGAATTATATTCTTGGAGCAATGTTTCATGTCCTGAGTGCTTTTCCTTTGCCCTCTCAAATCTGTTTTAATTGGGTATAACAAGAATGACCCAAATGGTATGATCAACTTTCACAAGTGACATGATTAAACTTTTTCTGATTTCAAAGGTCTGGCTGCTGTGTTGAGAAGAGAACGTGGTGGACATATATAGAAACATGGAAACCTGATAGGGCTAATGCAATAACTCAGAGAAGAGGTGATGGCAGCTTAGACCTGTTGGTAGCAATAGAGTCGTAAGAGGTGATTTCATTCTGGCTATGTTTTAAAAATAGAACTGACAGGATTAACTGAGAGATTGGATGGATTTTAAGTGAAAGAATGTCTCTGAGGGTTTTGTTTTATTTTCCCAAACTACAATGATGAGGATTTTTTTAAGTCCAAGCAACATACTTACACACATATTCCAACTCATCACATTGTGTCACAGTTTTTTTTCTATCTCTTTTACTTTGTGCTGAGGGCAGACCTTGTGCTGTACATTCCCAATGCCTACTGGAGCATTCAATAAATATTTGTTGAGTAAATGAACATTAAATGTGGCAGATGTGAATTCACATTGGACCCAACACTGTCCTTATCATCTCCCTCCTAAGATACCTTTTACCTCAAGTATGAAAGTCCATTTGCTGATCTCTGCAGAGAGCCTGAATCAGGTCCCCAATCTAAGAGTTCAGGCTCCACTTGCTAACCTTTCTTTCAGGGCTTTATTCATTTTATATTACTGTGAGTGATATTGTGATTATATATATATATATATATATATATATATATATATACATATTTGTTCTTCATTCCTGTTTCCTGGCATACAGCTCCTAAAATCCTTGGAATCTCCAGAGTAATTGATAAGAATGCCTTTTGTATGCTAATGAGATAACTGGAGGCCCCTAGGATGGGGACTAGCAACAGGAAAGACCAGGGCATGATTAAACTTTCAGCCCTACTTCCCAGCTTCCAGGGAGGAGAAAGGACCCGAAGGTTAATTTGATCACCAATGGCCAATGATGTAATCAGCCATGCCTATGTAATGAAGCTTCCTTAAAAACACAAAAGGATTGAGTTTGAATGAGCTTCTGGATAGCTAAACATGTGGAAGTTCCCGGAGGGTGGTGGTCCTTAACTGCATATGGAAGCTCCATGCCCTTTTCTATATGCCTTACATTATCCATCTCTTCCACCTGCCTGTTTAACTATATCCTTTGTAATATCCTTTATAATAAGTGGGTAAAAGCAAGTAAAGCGTTTCTCTGAGTTCTGTGGGCCTCTCTAGAAAATTAATCAAAGCTGAGGAGGAGTTTGTGGGAATTCCTGATTTATAGCCAGTTCTTCAGAAGTATGGGTGACAACCTATTTGTGATTGGCACTGGAAGTAGGAGGAAGTCTTGTGGGACCAAGCCCTAAACCTGTGGGACCTGATTCTATATCTAGGTAGGTAAGTGTCAAAATTTAATTGAATTAGAAGACACCCAGCTATTGTCTGCTGCAGAATTGATTGGTGTATAGGAAAAAGGTCTCCCTGATCCCAACTCTGGTGTCAGAGTGTTGAATGTATTGTTTGGTGACCAGAGGTAGTCTGTATTGAGAGTTAAAGTGGGGAAAATGTCAGTTTTTCCCCATATCTTATACCGTGCAACAGATCACCATAATCATAGCCACTTAAAACAATACACATTTATTATCTCACATTTTCCATGGGTCAAGAATCCAAGCACAATTAAGTTGGGTCCTCTGTTATAATCTCACAAGACTGCAATCAAGGAGCAAGGCTGTGTTTTCATATGGAGGCTCAAATGGGAAATAATATGCTTTCAAGCTCATTCAGATTGTGGGCAATGTTAATTTCCTTGTGGTTTTAGGACTAAGGGTTTCAGATTTTTGCTGGTTGTTGGCTGGAGGCCTTTCCTAGAGGCCACTGCAGTTCTTTGTTCTGTGAGTTTCTCCAGCATGTCCACTTCATCAAGCTACAGGAGACTCTTTAACTTGCTAAGAAATTTTATATACATAGTGATATGGTTTGGCTATGTCCCCACCCAAATCTTGAATTGTAGCTCCCCAAATTCCCACATGTCATGGAAGGGACCCAGAGGGAGGTAATTGAATCATGAGGGTGGGTCTTTCCCGTGTTGTTCTTGCGATAGTGAATATGTCTCACAAGATCTGATGGTCTATTTAAGGGGAGTTCCCCTGCACAGGCTCTCTTGCCTGCTGCTGTGTAAGATGTGTCTTTGCTCCTCCTTTGACTTTTGCCATGATTGTGAGGCCTCCCTAGTTACATGAAACTGTGAGTCAATTAAACTTCCTTTCTTTGTAAATTACCCAGTCTCAGGTTTGTCTTTATTAGCAGTGTGAGAACAGATTAATATACATAGTAATCACAGGAGTGACATCATCATCACCTTTGCTTTATTATATTAGTTAGAAGCAAGTCACAGGTCCCACTCACCCTCAAGGGGAGGGGATTACTCAAAGGGCTGAACGCCAGGAGGTGGAAGTCATGGTGGGTGGGGGGTGTCAAAATTACTTTTATCATTAGAAATGTGTTTGTTTGTTTCTTATCCCAACAATTTTGACTCTATGTTAGTTCCGGGACGGCATGACGTCCTGACCTGTGCTGTCCAATATGGTAACCAGTGGTCCCAGGCATGGTTAGTGTGTCTGAAGAACTGAGTTTTTAATTTTTAAAACATTTTAATGAATTTAAATTTAATCTAAAAACTGGTCCTCCATTCAGTTATTGGAAAAATATTTGTGTGTTTAGAACAGCTTGTATATGAATCTACTTTTTCAGCTATACATTTTATGAAATCTAGACACTGACAAGTGTCTCCATTGCAAATTCGTTCAAATTGAGATGTGCTGTTAACTGTAAAATATACACCAGGTTTCAAAAACTTGGCATGAAGAAAGAAAGCTTCTCCTTAATAATTTAAAAAAGAGTTACATGTGGAAATAACATCCTGTATATATTGGGATAAGTAAATATATTATTAAAAACAATTTAATGTTTTTGTTTTTATTTTTTTAAAAAACAGGTTACCAGAAAATTTAAAGTTACACAAATGGCTAGCATTCTATTGCCGAAAGAAAATAGCGGTGAAGAGCTTAGAGTTGGGTTAGCAAGGCACGCCCCCAATGGTTAGCTAAAGATGTATGGCATCAACGAGAAATGTTGTGGGGGCTCAGGAGAGGGGAAGGTGGGGTCATCCACGGTCTGAGAAAGTCTTCAATTGAAGGCGAGACAGACGAGACTATTAGCGAGTGTCGAGAGAACCAACGTCTCGCTGGCTGCGCTGGGAATGCCCCACGACCTTGGCCTCGTTTTCGCTCCGCGCCCCGCCCTTGAACGCGCGGCGCCTTTTGACCCCGCCGCCGCGCCGTAGACCGCGCGCACGCCGGTGGCTGCCATGGCGGATGTGTCCGAAAGGACGCTGCAGTTGTCAGTGCTAGTAGCCTTCGCCTCCGGAGTACTCCTGGGCTGGCAGGCGAACCGACTGCGGAGGCGCTACTTGGACTGGAGGAAACGGAGGCTGCAGGACAAGCTGGCGGCGACGCAGAAGAAGCTGGACCTGGCCTGAGACTCCGCGCCTTCCGCCTCATTCGATCCCTCGCTTGGCCACCTTGCCATGTCCGCGCGGGAGCTCCTGCCAGAGCCAGGCTTGCCACACAGTCCCCGCCTGCCGTGGCGGGCTCTTCCCGGAGTGTTGGTGAGCAGTACACATAGTGACACTGCAAAGGGAGACTTTGGGGTCGGACAGATACCATAGTATCAACTCTGGTCAGGTCGCAGAAGATGACTTGTTCTCACAGACACCAGAAGGTGGAAGAAGTTTTGTCTTCCCTAATAACTTGTTCTTTGGTGTCTTAGTTTAGTTCACTGGGTGTTTAATGAGAATGTCTCACCAACGTGCCATGTCGCTTACCCCGACATTAAACATCAGTATGGAAAATACTGGAAAGAACAAATGAAAAAAGGAACCAGGGAGGTGATCTTGCCACCCCCAGTTCTTTTCAGTAACATCCTTGTTAGCGCATCTTCGCCTTGGTGATTGTAAACTCCAAACTGAATTCTTAGGTTTTTGGCAGCCTAGTAAACTGGAAAGAGCAGTGGCCTGGAAGTCAGGAACCTTGCATCCAGTCTTAGCATTTTCAGAAGAGCTGTGCATCATAAGTTTTCAGGACCTCAGTTTTCTTGTCTTTAACACCAGATCTTATGGTTCATGGTTTAATACCGCAGCACAATTTGAAGTTACAGATCGTGTATTTCTAATTTTTTTCTCTTTTCTGTTTCCAACAGCTTGATAAAAATGGATATAGCCTACTGGAAAGAAATGACTTCTTCTTGCACTTTATGAATCAGTTTTATTTTTGAAATAAAAAAATTAAACATCTTTGAAGCTTTTTTTTTTTTTTTTTAAATAAGGGGAAGTATGTTTTCATGGAATTTACTGCATCAAGATATCTGCATTTTCAAAACTGACTTGCTAGTGTTTTTGAGCAGATGAATTACGTAACTTGTGCCCCTTCTTTTGTACAAGCACAGAGCAGACTCAGCTATGGGATCATTAAGGGTTCTTTTACCGAACTCGTTGGAAAGTAAGGGGATGTGTAAACGTAACTGAGGTAAGGGTGCTGTCTGTAAGACCTTTGAACTTCCAAGAGTAACAGTGTAGTCTCTGGCCCTGCTCAGGCCTGTAATCCCAGCACTTTGGGAGGTTGACGTGGGAAGATCACTTGAGCCCAGAATTTGGCAACATAGAGAGACTTAGGCTCTGCAAATAACTTACAAATTAGCTGGCTGTGGTGGTGCACACCTGTGGGCCCAGCTAATTTGTAATCCAGAGGCTGAGACAGGAGGATCACCTGAGTCTAGGAGGTCAAGGTTGCAGTGAGCCATGATCTCACCACTACAATCCAGCCTGGGTGACAGAGCGAGACCCTGTCTCAACCCAAAACAAAACAGTGTATTCCAAGTACAGAGTATAAGTTTGGTTTTTTTGTTTGTTTGTTTGTTTTGTTTTTGAGACAGTGTTTTGCTCCTGTTGCCCAGGCTGGAGTGCTGTGGCTCAATCTCAGTTCACTGTAACCTCTGCCTCCTGGGTTCAAGTGATTCTTCTGCCTCAGCATCCCAAGTAGCTGGGACTACAGGCATGTGCCACCATGCCCAGCTAATTTTTGTATTTTTAGTTGAAACGGGGTTTTACCATGTTGGTCAGGCTGGTCTTGAACACCTGACCTTAGGTGATCCATACCCTCAGCCTCTCGAAGTGCTGGGATTGCAGGCATGAGCCACTGTGCTTGGTCAGTGTATAATTTTTTATTGGGAAAATTCTCTTATATGTCATTATGGGATACACATGTGAAGGAGAAACCCTCCTGAACAGAGCTTAGTGATAAATCCTACCTATATATAAAAATCAAGAGTGAGTGCCTGGTTCTTTTGATTTGTAGGGAGTGTTTCTAGAACACCACCCTTGCTCATTCCTACAAAGATTAAAATTTCATGTCTCAACTCCATGTTAACATAGGAAAGTTGTTTCCACATGAAGCACCTCCCCATTTTACTGGAGCTATTATGCCTTATTCCAACTTTGTTTTCATTCTGTGAATGTGGTAGTCAAGGACTGAAATGTTGGTTCGTAGAGCTCAGTCCTATCTGGGCTGCAGTTTGCTGAAGCTTCCTGGTGACCGCTTCTCGTTGAGGCTCCAAGAGCTGAGACTGAGGCAAGGTAGGTTCCTTGAGGGACATCTTACCCCCAAATAAGCATGTGGGTGGTGACTGGCCTAATTCTGTTTGGCCCCATTCTTGTGCGATGTTCCTGGTGTACCTGGTCCTTCTAATGTTGATTCTTTCTCATTACTTATGTGCACTATCCTGACATAGTCATGCCCCTCTCCTGTCTCTTCTCTAGGTATACCTGCTTCTGGGCATGTGCTACTTCTGACTCCTGTCTATGTCATTACGAGATCTCTAGCCACTCTGTGCCACTCCTAATTTTCTAGTTTTCTGCTTACTACCTTTTTATACTGTGACTGTACTCCCCAGTTCTGTAGTGGGCAGTTACCTTTAACGTTACCTCTGTACCTTTTCTACCTTTGCTCTACTTAAACATGGTAGTCTCCCCCCCCCCCCCCCCGCCAAAAAAAAATACTATGGAGACAGTACTTCTCTTTTAGCTACAACTGGAAATGGAAAGTTGGGAGCCAGGAGTCAGTGGCAGTCATAACTTGAAAATGACACACTGTTGACTACATATTCCCCCACCTCCATTTGTCACTGCCATTTACTCATGACATCTACCTGTCTTGGCCCACTTTTACTTCCCTACCCTGCCTCCTTTTCTCCCCGCAAATGGGGTTCCCAGACCACCTGCTCTATCCCACATTGCTTCAGCCATACTCTGGACCTTGTCATCAGCAGGCATGAGCTATATTACATTGTACTTGGTCTGTTTAGTCTCAGGAGCTACACCCACCTCATTAGGACAGCTGACATCCTCTGTATCTCCTATAGAACTGCCCACTCTGGAAACTATTAGCTGTGTTACTCTTCCAGTTTACCTCATAAGGCATCCTGGGCTCCCTAGTCAGATTAGACTCCATCCTTGCTTGTACATTGCCGTCACCATTGAACTTTAAAGAAAGACTTCACCTTTCTTACTTGGCTCACTACAAATGGGTTCTACCGTGACGGTAATGTGTCTCATTTTTTAGCACCCGAGTTCCTTAAACTCCCAGTTTACTTGATACCTTTCATTCCTAGTAGATCAACCATATGAGAAGTTAAAGACCATTAGCTGGGAATTCCTTGGTCTTTCTCAATAGTTTTGTCTAGGGCAGTGGTTTTCAACAGGGCTGCCCATTATAATCATCTGGGGAGTTTTAAAAATACTAATTCTTGCATGCCACTCTCCAGACATTTTGATTCATTTCATTTGTAATATGGACTGGGTTTTAGAATTTTTAAAGCTCTCCAGGTGATTGAGATGCTCAGGTGAGGTTGAAAACTGCTTTTGAAGCTCTGTCTCATTAGGTTTCCTTTACCAGGAGAGAAGACACTCAGGCCCCTTCCAAGGTTGTCTCTTTGGCTTCTGCAGAATTCTGCATCTCCCTCAGGACCTTCCTTCTTCTCCAGTACCTCATCTCTTTCTGGCATCTGCAGTCTTGCCCTGCTTTCTATTTATAAATGCACATTGTCTTTTTTTTTTTTTCTTGAGACGGAGTCTCACTGTGTCCCCTAGGCTGGAGTGCAGTGGTGTAATGTCAGTTCACTGCACCCTCTGCCTCTTAGGTTCAAGCGATTCTTGTGCCTTAGCCTCCCTGAATAGCTGGGATTACAGGCACCTGCCACCATGCCTGGGTATCAAATGCACAGATTTTGACTTAAAATTTCTTTTAGTTGATGCTGTCATTGGCCAATTAGAAGTGGTTCACTGTCACCTTCTTTCCAAATATTTTGCCCATTGGCCTGCTGTGATCTGCCCTCTGCACCTTCCAGAAACATTGATATCTACGGCTCTGAATTCTCACATTTTACCTCAAGAGTATATGATGCGGCCACTTTCTCCCTTGAAATTCTCCTTCCTTTGCTTCTGTAATACAAAAGTTTATTGAGTTTCCAAACTACTACTATTGCTGCCTTTCTCAAGTTCCTCAAACTTTCGTCCTTGGTTCTCTGCTCTGTCCTCTCCTGTGACTACCCTAGCCACTCTCTTGGCTTAACTAGCACATCCAAGCAGACCGCCCTCCATCTGATTCTTTTCTTCAATTCCAGCTTTACTCTTTCAGCTGTCTAGTGGACATATTCAATGCATGACCTTACTTTAGAACTCAGTGTATTTAATCATAAGCTGTTCATTTGGCAGGGAATTCTGTACACCAGGTAGCATTTCTGTGGTAAGTGGTTGATATAATTTTCATGTTTCTAGTCTATTACTGTAGCTTGGAAGCTCTTTGAGAGCAGTGTTAAACATCTTGTACCACAGGCCCAAACAGTGCCTTGCACTAAGGTGCTCGTATATATTTGTCATTTTTATTTGAGGTAGATTCTTTTCTTTCTTTCTTTTTTTTTTTTTTTTGAGACAGAGTCTTACTCTGTTGCCCAGGCTGGAGTGCAGTGGCTCGATCTCAGCTTACTGCAATCTCCACCTCCCAGGTTCAAGCGATTCTCTTGCCCCAGCCTCTTGAGTAGCTGGGTTACAGGCACATTCCACCATGCCTGGTACCTGGCTACCTCTGTATTTTTGATAGAGATGAGGTTTCACCATGTTGGTCAGGCTGGTCTTGAACTCCTGGCCTCGGGTGATCTACCACCCTCAGCTTCCCAAAGTGCTGGGATTACAGGTGTGAGCCACTGGGCCTGGCCTGGATTTTCTTTTAAGTGCCTGAAACTGCAAACCTTCTCTC